TAAGTTGTTCTCATCCATTCAGGAGTGGACTGCAGTTTCGAACTTGTATCGGTCTTATCAACATCCTCAGCGGGAGTCGAACCGTGACAGTGCAGAATGGTAGAGGTCGAAACTACTGTCCACCCTGGCTGAGAACAACTTTTGGGAAAGCAAGACTATGTGAAATTCAATGGAAATGTCAGCTATACTCATATCATTGTGGGAATATTCTACTATCAGTCCTTCATCAACTTAAACAAAATATGGTGAATACATCTCATATTACTTTGTAATAGTCGTGGGCACTTTCGTTGTCTGATAGAGAAGACCGCCAATCAGCCCTTTAGACGAGAAGTGTTTCCTGAAGTAGAATAGCAGATTTGACGACCTGGATGGTGTCTTCTCTATTTTGGTCGCAGTCTCCTTTCGCTGCATTAAACTATTTCGGTCTAGATTTTACAATTTTGTCCTGTTGTCAGGGCGACCTTGATAGACGCAACTTATCCGGGGTCTGCCGTCATAGTGGTTGTGATACTTTCCAGAGAAGGACCCACGACTTGAAACATTCTCAGACGTATCGTCGATATCGCCAATGAGCCTTGCCATTTTTAGCATTAGGCTAGAATTTGTCAGAGGTAACTGGAATGCACCCCCTGATACCTTTTCTGCCTAAATTTCTCGTAAATTGACGCAAAATCGACGACTTCAAAAAGTTGGTTGTCGGAGAAGATGACTGGTCAGTCGCAGGTTTTGCTTGAGTCGTGACAATAATTTTTTCGAGTAAGGCCCGAAATAACCAAATTTCTGTTGTACCTTTCGTTTCATTTTATGCAGGCTAAGCACCTTTCGTCTGTCCTGCCATGACAGACGCCGTAAAAGTATGAAGTCAAGCATGAAGTCAAGAAATTTCATGCTAACTTGTGTAGAAAGGCGGCGTTATCCTTTTGAAATGAGATTATTAAAAAGCTCAATTCAACCACGTCTCCATGCGTGTAAAATTAGCTTTAAGCTAAAGATCATAGAATCCTGGGTGTTGCTGACGTCATCTCTTCTCTCAAGCGAGTAAAAGGGGAATCAAAGCATAACATTTTAGCAAAGTCAGTTGATGATGTGCACTTTAACATGTGCCGGCCTCTTGTAGAAAAGTTCTTAGACTTTCTATCCTTCCGAAATAGAGCTTGGTTAATCTCAGTACGTAGATTCGTGCTAAAATATACAAGTTTGCCTGATCTGCATTCCGTCTGTAGGGGCGCACTTTAAAAGCCATATCTGTCCTGTTTTTAGTAGGTTTTTGAGACTAACAGATCTGATATTTCGCTTTAGGTCATGAAAGACTGGCAATTGAGTTTTTCCGCAACCAAAAGACTAGGTCCCCTGATTGTATTGCATTGTACACAGCTTTGCTTTCCATGAGATACTCTCATATGTGGGCTTTAACGACTACT